TCGTAGGCGGCTCCAAAGACGCTCAGACCCGAGCAGGCCGAGGGGCGTGCGGAAGGACCGCCACCCCCCTCCGTGTCCACACGCGTTCATTTTCAGCTTTCGCGATACGACCCACACGGACGAGGCATTTCCACACGCGGCAGCGCCAAAAGCAGGTCTCCGCGCACTTCAAGGATCTGCCAGAGTCTCATTTTTCAAAACACAATCATTGCTGTCCTTGTCCTTTACGGACAGTTACCAACAGCCCCGTTATCGACCCCACCGTCCTCCTGCCGCCGCCATCAGAAGCCACTCGGCTGAAACGAGCAAATTCTCCCAATTCCGCGCTTAGCCACCCGCCTGAATGCAGCTGATATTTAATGCCAATTTAAGGCCCTGGGAAGCCAATGACTGAACTCAGACTTCGTTCGAGGCAAACAACTGGAAATTTGCACTAATTTCTATGTGTGCAAAACCCGGCTTACCTCCCAGCCAGGCTTCTTACATAGACTGGCATTTTATCAAAGATACAACTAGAAAAAACTGAACACCGCCTTTTCTGACAAAGAGCATGCTTTTAAGAATAACGATGCCTGCAATTTATTGTAAACATCCGTTAACAACTCTAGGCACGCAGACCAGCAACATTCAAAATTTTGCAAAGTTTGGCCTTACACCAGCTGCTTCAACTTCCACAGCAGAGCGTTACGACAGATGAAGCCCATATGTACTCAACCATACACATTTCAAAAGCATTTGGGGGGGGTGGGGTGGTTTTTTTTTTTAACAGAGAAAAATGAGCAAAATTATCTCCACTGTACGTCAATTTCAATGTGCCAATAGCATTAGGACAAACAGTAGTACTAAAATAATGACATTCTGAACATTTTCAAATATACCAGGTACTGTGATGCACAAAACCAGGTGTGGCTTTTAGCGTATTACTCATAATAACAAGCCATTACCAAAGCAAGTGCAATAAATGTTTCAGTTTCACATTGAGCTGAAACCCAAGAGTCTCTCTGAACATCCCAGACCCATCTGCTGGCAACCTAAAGGAAAGAAAAGAAAAAACTGTTTGTGAATCTATGAACAGCACAGTTTATATATATATATATATATATATTTTTAAAGAACACACAGCATTATGTAAATACTGGTATAATTGCATTATGACTTATAAGTAGTAACAACTGCAAAATTACACTGAAAAAGAACAAGTCCTATTCGATGCTAAAGTACACGTTCTTGCTTCACAGCAAAGCTTCCACCCCAAGAGATACAAAAATCTCTACACCAAAAACCCAATTCTCTCTCATGTTCATTTGTTAGCACTTTAGTGTGCTGTAATGGCACCCCTTCAAAAGCAACATGAATAGACATTAGTTTTGGGAACATATACAACTGAGAAGTCACATCCCCCACTCCTCCACCTCCAGCTTACTCCAGTCTACTTGTGACCACTTATTGGACTCTTAGCTTTTTTGATAAAACTGTTTTCAAAGCTGAAAATGTGTGGATTGACTGCTGGAATAAACATATTCCTCAGGAGAAAAAAAACAAAAACCAACCTAACTCACTCAGACCATTTCAGAAATCCGTTTTAACTTACAGCTCCTCAGCCAAAGTACAACCTCAGGGGCAGTGTACTGTGAGACAGCACCGGGTCAGTCAGTAGACAGAGACCCCTCGCAGATCAGCTTCATTGCTGAAGCTGACAACGCTTCAAACACTGTTCCACGTAACCCACTAAACCCAGGAATGGTTTCATCAGGTTCTAAGGGCTGATAATAAACACTCGTAAATAGAAGTGCTCTCTGACACTTGGCCAGATACCCAAAAGCATTCTGACTGCCAATGGGAGCTTGCAATAATTGTAAATTTATATACAACACAGGAAAGTCTAGAATACTTTTCTTTCGGGTGTGCCCAGTTC